CGCTGACGTTTGTGAAAAATGACATAATGGTTTTAGTGCTGGATAAGATATGCAAATTTTCTCAAAATTTGTGCCTTCTCGTCTATCTGATTACCAAGTAAGAAGGATGAAAAAGTGTTGCAGTTTTGAACATTTAACGCGTCCACACACAAGGCATACGCGTATGCAGAAGCTTATTTAAACTTATAGATTTGTACATGGGTATTCAACATTCTCATAAAATTATGGCCTCCTGCTCAGCTTAGCTGAATGGTTTAACCGATGCCAGGGTTGCCCAAAATTGAAATTTTACTTAAGCTTAACACGAGAGCTAGACGCGCGGATATGGTGAATTTAAGGAGTTTGGGTCGTACATCGAATATCTTCATAAAATTTCAGTTTCATAGCCTGCCTGGTTCCGCAGACTGCTCTTTCGCTGGAAATATATTTGTTTTGTCCGTATGCGTGATAAAGGCATGTGCGAAAGCGAATCTTACATTTCCAGGTTCGCACATGAAGAGCAAATGTTCTCATATTATTACAACATCCTAAACAGCCAGCATCTCGAGACAGCATCTTAATAGCGAAATCTCAATCTCAGCTTTGATATATCCGTACATATGACGCAGGCTTGCGTTAAAGTTGAATTTGAAAACTTTAGCTCGCAAAAGGACACTGTAAATCGCTGTGAAATTCAGCTTTTTACTTTGTTTAGCTCCCGAAGTTGTTTAGTTTCGGATATATATCCGAAGATATATATATATCCGAAGTCGAGTTGTTCTCGTAAAACCAGAATTTCTTTCAAAAATGCCATTGCGAAGCTGCCTACCACTGTGTTAATCCATCCAGCCGAAACCTAATATCCTTAAAAATGTTTGAATTTCAGCTGTTGCTTTAGAAAATATGTGTCTACTAAATATGTATTCTAATACAGTAGAACAAAACACCCGTAATCCCCACAGAAAAAAAGGAGTTTAATAGACGTATCACTACTTGAAACAGATTTGCATGATAGCTAAAAAAATTTTTTTCGCTAAATGGATCAACTCAAACAACCGTATGTCAACACGCATAGGATACGAATTAGAAAATTAAAACAGGCTGAAAAATGACGGGAGGAAAGCAAGGCGAACTGGTAGCAGAGGCGGGAAGTTCCAACAACCCTCGGTGCTAACAGCGCAATCATTAACCAGTTAACTAGCTGTTTTATCACTTTCAAAACAACACTTATGTATTCCAGAACGGTACTGTATGGGTCAATTATCGGATGTCCGTCAAAGCGCCTTGCGACCTCGATTTGAGGACATTTCCTTTTGATAGTCAGTCCTGGTAATTTTTATGCATTGCCGCATAAATGATTTGTGGAAATGAATCCCCTTTAATGCGTTTTTGCTGTGCGGCTGCTATACCGCTGCTACAGTCAGCAAAAACGCATATTGTCGAGAGGTTGTCTGTGTGTGTATGTTCGGGAACGAGTGCATTTTGTCACCCACTTTCATCTCAGCAACCAGGAAAGCTGGGAGGCTGAAATCTTGAGTACATATTCCGACCTCGTGTGTCACCCTCCCGTTTTAAGATCTCCTACACGCATTTAGATCCAGCGTAACGACCCCGGAAAAAATATGCAGATTTCCTTGGCAGGAAGCAATTCTGCGAACCAGACAAGGTACAAAGCAGAAACGATGCAGGAATATTCTTTGTGTATGTGTGAGCTAAAGATTTCAAATTCAGCTGTCGCGCACGTTTGTGTAGCACGCACAATCACGTCAAAGTTTGCAACTTGGTACTGTGCTAACTCGAAAATTGCCGGAAAACAGTGGCTGGAATATTGTCAGCATGTTTGACGCCCACCTGGAAAATTGTATGCCCAAAATGAGTGCCGATGTGCACTTGTGTCACGACTTAGGGCACTCCAACATGTTTGTAGCGAAGTGGATATTTCGCTTACCGGATAAGCTGCGAAGCTGAAAATCCGTTGGGATATTCTACTTTCATGTGCGGCCTTAATTCTGCTCGGAGATGAAATTCCCCCAGGTAGGTGTGAGAAATACTCAACTTTACCGAAAATCAGAAACGAGTGCGTTTTGCAGCGAACAATCGCCCTCGTCCAAATATGTAAATGAATATTTAATTCATTTGCTTACTTGGATTTTTTGACAAACGACCGCTCTAGCAACAATTCCACTTTTTAGTGAACTAGAAATTTGCATTTTTTCAAAAAATTTGCACTTTCCATTTTTTCAAAAAGTGAGCATTTGCCGAAAAAATGGCCGGGCTTCATGCAAAAAACTGGTAATCATGTACCTGGAGGTCCATGCGGTTCTATAATGCACCACCTTCATCCCAACCGATGCCCTTTCTCCTGTACGCCGGAAGGGGTCAGAACACTGCCAATATGTACCCAATTGTTAGGCCACAGCACAGGGATCATTTCTGCTATTAGCGACCTGCGATTTTAGTGCAAAAACGCATGGCCGCACCGGCAAGCCTAGTGCGTTCCAGTCTGGGTTTAATATGCACCTCCAACTGGGCATTGCTGCTGAGGGTTCAGATTCTTAAACCATTTCATTCTGGACCTTTATTAAACATCATGTAGCGACTTCGAAACGTCAGAATGCAGTGAACGGCCACGCTTGGATTCGACAATTTGCGGATCTACAGCGCATGCTGATGAGTGGTTGTCACGAGAACGGAAACAGTCGATTGGACGCCCACTGGAGAGCCGGCGTGTATACTAGTAGTATAAGTGGTCTGCATTAACTTAAGACGATCACAGTTGCATCGGGTCTATGGTAACACCCAACAACATCGGTAATTTGAGATCCCTGCACTGAGTAAGAAAAAACTATGGTAATGTCCTGTCTGTCAAATCCCTGTGCGCCAGTGTAATTAAACAGCAGAGCTACCAAAGCAGGGAAGCCTAAAATCTGATAACTTAGCAAACGGCTATGCACGACTTCAAAGACGGTGGATAAAATCGCACCTTTCTTTGCACTCTGTCCCTTGATCTCGAGTTCGAGTGTGACTGGGAGAACAATAAGCCACAAGATATTCCGAGCGATCGGTTCATCAAGTAATTAAAGGCGAATAACTGGAGACTAAAGCTCCAGTTTTCAATGGTTCTGAATTTTTGATCTTAAATCCAAATTCATGCTGATCTTACAGTAGAAAAAAGTTACAGATTAAACACGTACCTCAACTAACTCGGAAGTAACTCGAAAACAGGCTTAATATGTCTGGCTTTATGAGCCAGGGTTCAAATTTATGTTAGCTTCAAAAAATGTTCAGCACGTGTCAAGCTAGAATTTCTGCAGTAGCTTATTACTACTACGATTAGTTTTATATGTGGCCTGCAGCTTCCAAAATTTCTTCAATCAGTATTCTCACTGGCTTGCGCGTTGATCATTGTTCTGAAGTGCTTTTCAACTGTAATAGTTTGTTTTTCAGCATGCTAATATTTGAATCCTACTCACATAATAGTGACGAGGTAACGCTGAAGTGGATGGATGAAGCAGTGACGTTGATGAAACCAATACAGCTGCCGGATTTCGATTTAGTTTATTATACGACAAAAAATGAAACGATGCTCTATCCAAATGGTTACTGGGACCAGCTCCAGGTTGTTTGACAACTACTTTGGCGACGCGCAACGGCGGGCCCGCGCGATCATGCGTTTTTGCAGGATCTCGTGCTGTTGTAAGATCGCTTGGAATCACAATAGCTAGAATTTATGACCTACTGGCCCTTGAACTTTACAAAGTTAGAAGTATAATTATCACATGTACTCGGAAACGGGACATTCTGTTAAAATTTCAACTTTCCAGTTTTTTTGGTTCCCGAATTAACGAATTTTCTCGCCAAAAAATTTCTCGAAACCGTACAAGGAAATCACGCATAACTGGGGTTGAATTTGAAATCTTTGAGCTTTACTTAGACGGGGAACATTTTCTTAAAATTTCAGCCTCCCAACTTTTCTGGTTCCCGAGTTACCTTTTACGGGGCCATATGTGAGAACCACGCACAACCGGGGCCCAGACTCGCGTGAGGATCGGTACCGCAATCCTGGGGTGGCACTTGGCCGGGGAAACCGCCGGCAAAATTTTGACTCCGGAGCTTGCGTGATTGCCGAGTTGAAATACCCGAACACGTACGCACATGCACGTACACACACACAAACATACTCACACCAAGGGTCGTCGCAATACGCGTTTTTGTTCGCTGTAGCATCGCTGCTACAGCGAACAAAAACGTATAATAAACGAAGAAATGATAGATGGGTAGTGAATTAAGAAAGTTCACTCACATTGGATAGCTACTGACTACTCAGCTCGATCACCTTTTTAAACTCATATTATCCGAGAACGCTAATTAATTTTACAGACTTGGGAAAGACAAACCATAGTATAATGGACAATGATTCTAAAAAAGCAGCTCTTAGGCGCACTTACTCTGCTTCTCAATGCAAAGGATAAATTTCACGAAAAAGCTTATGAATAATTAGGCTTCTTGGAATACCTACTCATTTACACTAAGATCAGATTTTCCAAGAGGAATGCAAACTATATCTGCGACTGGCAACTAAGGGATGTTATGAAGAAGGGAACCAAATTCAGACCAACGGTCATTAAAACTGCAGAAGAAGTTATAACGGATATTTCCAACGCCCTAGATGTTTTCACTTCTGGTATGGCAAATCGCACCACTCACTGCACATCAGATACAGATCACAGATATATCCTCGATTTTATACATTCCATTTTCATGATAAAGGATTGGCTTGTACCCCGAAATTTACTAAAGGTTCAGATTTCTGGTTCCACAAAGTAATGTGGGCTTAAGCCTAATCTGTTGCCGGTTGTAAATCAGGCTAGACTTCTAGCTAATCAATGTTATAACTTCGTCAAATCTACCAATTAAAATTGACGCTAGTTAACTCACGACTTATAATAACTAGAAGTGTGAATCTCTAAAAGTGTAGTTTGGATCGAGAGACGTAGCTTAGAAATATGTATGAAATACAGAGCATCTAGAAGTGTAGCTTAGATTCTATTCGAACTAATCAGAATTTATAATTTGCTGTGAATAAACGGCAATTTTTCCGTGTGAATAAAAAATGGCGAACGGAAGCAGTGCAGGTAGTAGGTGTAATTCAGAATCGAGGGATTTTGCACAGCTGCTTCGACGCTTGGAAGCAACATCCCTGTCGCATCACTAGCATCGGCTTTCATCCTTGTTATTCTTATATTCTAAATTGACTTTCGACAACAAGATTTTCAGATTATTTTTGTTTTCAAGCGACGTTATGGGTTTTACATTTTGCAAGCGTATGTGCCGACGTATTTGACCATAATTGTTAGTTGGGTTGGATTTTGCATGGAACCCAAGGCGCTACCGGCTAGGACGACGGTCGGTGTATCCTCATTGCTCGCCCTTACCTTCCAGTTTGGCAATATCTTGAAAAATTTGCCACCAGTGTCCTATATCAAAGCAATGGATGTTTGGATGCTTGGTACGCAGTTTTTTACAATTTTGAACATTTCAGTCGAATTTATTCGCTGCAAAATAACTTAAACGGTTTTTTTCTGGCTCCGCATATCAGGCTAACTTTCAAAAAAGCTCCTAACTGGTACTACGAACTACTCAGTCCTTCGAATTTTTCGATGTTAGTTGTTTATAACCTGTATCTCCAAGGAATTAACATTGTCATAGGATTGTCAGTGCTGACATCCATGTTAACAACTACTTGTGTACAGAAGCCTTATTTTGGCAAGTAAAAAGCGAGTTTTCGGCTTGATGGACGAAGTGCACTGAAATTTTGTTATTCGGGCTTGCAGTTTCATCAGACTTTTTATTTTATCGCCATGTTTTTAGTGAAAAGTTTTAACTTTCATTATGCGCTAGATGCAAAGAAGAACGTCGCGGAAGTAGAAAGCATGCCAAGAAATTCGAAAGATTAGAAAGCTGTGAATTTGTAATATCAAAAAATCGTAGTCCAATTTCCGTTACCACACAAATAAAAAATTGAAATTGTCGTTGCGCTATTTCCAGGCTGTATAACGTTTGTTTTTGGTACCATGGTTGAATTAGCGTTTGTTTGCTATACGACACGCTGTTTTGACGGAAACTTAACGAAAAGTATTACGCCGAGGAAAAAAATTAGTCGAAGTCGTCGATTATTTTCGGAACCTGCGTTTCTGAATCCGAACGGCGTATGCCGCAAGAATTCCTTATCGCCCAGGGGTAATTTGTCGTTGTTTCTATAAATAGCGATGTGCAGCACGTTATAAACTGCAGCTGATCAAAGTAGCAAAGTAAGCTGCGGCTTCCAATGAGTGAATGCTAAAAATCACATATAAGCTTAGTTTTGTCTTGTGATTTTATCATTTTTTGATGTGCCAAAGTTGCGCACTTATAGCTTATTTCTTTGAATTACAGTGATAACCTGTGTCTGACCAAAAGGTCAGAATCAACAGAGTGAAGGAAATTTTTTGGCCATGTTTTCAGTAGTCAGCCCAAATTATGTTATGAATTGGATTTTAAATTTAAGCGCCCTACGACTAAATTAAGAATATGGTCAATGAATTTGGTTTCAGCTTCCTAGCCTCACTGCATACGTAAAAACAGATGCATTTATAGAACACACGTTTCTGCATTATGCAAATGATGTTTTCTGCTCATTGACATTGCAGAAACGAGGAAAAACTAATTCATGGCAATTGGTTGCCTTTCCGAGTTTGAAATAACGTCACACAGAATTCAAAAATTTAACTGAGTGGGCGACATCTTGATGAATGGGCGGCTAGAAGCGAAGCGTGCTGAATGATAAACTGACTCAGCCGGCTCTCTCGTCAATACAATTTTATTAAAAATTCCCCAGAAAACAAGCAAATGAAAAACTTCGCCTTAGTGGGCCCAGGCCAGGATTGTGGAAGTGTCAGAAACGGCCAGCAATTCCCGCACAGAAATTAAAGCCTGAAAATACTGCACTAAAAAAACTGGAAAATTGATGTTATAAATTAAAGAAATAGGTAAAGATGCGAAACTGGTTCAGTTTTGCAGCCTATTCGTTATTCTCTCAGCCGATCTTCTTGAGACGGAAAAGAAGCTCGAAAGCAATACCAGCCGCATCGATATTCCGAGAATCTCCTTCACCGCCTTTAACGATGCAAACTTTATCAAGTCGTTCACGCCCCAAAGATTACGATGTGGTTGCTTCCTTCAACAGTGAAGCACCATTCGTGTTTGAAGAGGCTAGTTTTCCATGCAACCAATATTTGATACACAATCGCATAATCAGCAGAAGGAAGCTGGAGGGAACTGAACTTTCCTCAACCAGTACTCTATTTTGGCTTAGTCGGATGAAAAACTGTGATAAACTAAACTGAACACCGATCTCAACCGAAAAGAGCATAATTTAACCAAAAGGCAAAAATTTTGGTCACCCGGAAAAGGACACTAGAATTTTTTGGTAAAAACAAAAAGCTGATAACGAAGTAAGCGAAATATGTTGTTGAAAAGCCATATTGGTTGCAACGAAGAAAAATAAACAGATCATTCGGTTTGCCGTCGAAACCCTATGTATGTCACGGAAGGGCAAGGAAAAGATGAAATATAGGGAATTTCTAGAACAGCATTTTACGTTGCTTCGCAACATTTTTTTAATTGATACACTATATTCCTGTTGATAGCAGAGTTGGCTTATTGAAAAACTGCAATATTCACAACCTGAACCAGCTGTTCCAGTCTGAAAAGATAATTCAAAAACCACGAAGTCAGTTTTTGGCGGTAAACCGCTGACAACATATCAAATCAAAACTGCTTTCAGCTAATTTTACCAACACTTCTCTTTAGACAGAGTCAACTAGGAGTTTTTTGGCATCGCTTGCGCTGTATGGGTTAAAATCAAAGTCGTAATTCTGAATGAACTGGGACAAATTTCTTTTCTGTTTTTCCGATCTCTCACCAGTAGTTTTCGAGCTGAGGCTAATTTCGACCTTATTTAGCCAAAAAAATAATTGGCCAACGCACGGGCTGCTTATGCGAAGATGCGTTTTTTGCATAGTTCTTCGCAGTTTTTGTTGCTACCCGCACTGATTTTCTCGGCAAGTGCTTCTAGCTAAACAAATTAAGACTGGCCGGCAGAACTGTCAGAAAACACCTCCTCAAAACTTTAGCTTTCCTGGTTCCTGAGTTAGCAACTTACTGGAAAAAATTTTCACAGGCTCGTACGTGAATATCACGCATACTCGATGTCTGAGTTTGAGCTCGTTGAAACTTATGCGGACGGGGATCATCCTCTTAAAACTATAGTTTTCTAGCTTTTCAGGTTCTCGAGTTAGCAACTTACTCGTGAAAAACTTTGGTGAGCCCATGTGTGGGTACCACGCGTATCCGGAGTCTGGGTTTGAGCTCAATGAGACTTAGGTGAACGGGGAATATCCTCTTAAAATTACAGTCCTTTAGCTTTTCAAATTCCC